CCAGCTGCTCCCTGAAGCCCGTAGGAGTGAGTAACAATCATGTACGGATCTATGTTGTAGCCCTGAAGATAACCTGCAAGAAGTTAACGTACGAATCCATGCCGTACGGATAGTCAGGGAGTGACCATCAGGAGAACAGAAGTGGAAAAGAAAGCTGGAAAGCCCATCCGCGTCATCTAAATCCTCACAACAGGGTCCCCAGAAGGGGTGGTTCTGCAGTCTGCACCAGCAAGTCGCCATTGCTCAATCTGGCGTCTAGTGGCCAGGGCCATCTCCCTGACCCAAGGAATTTTCTTTCTAAAAATGCAGTCGTTTCTTCTTGCATTCCAGATCTCCCACACGACCAAGATGAGCATGGGTTCCAACTATAGCTAGTTTGACAAATATCAGTGCCCGGGCCATGCAATGCCATGCGCTCACCTCACTGCCTGCCACAAAGAAGAAGCGGATCTGCTACGGTCGCCGTAAAACATCAATCCAATCCACTGCCGGAGCAAATAAGAAGAAACAAAGATCGATCCACGGCCACGGGTTACTTGACCGGTGAAGAAGGAATATGACGTACGGGATGGTATAGTGGTGCTATGATTGAGTACTTGCGTGGCTGGTCAGTGGTTCCTTTCCGTTTCCCCGTCGCGGCTGCTCCACGGCCAAATTAATGACCCAGTCCAAACAACGTAAGCACAACGAAGATTTTGGGCCACCTCGGCCTCGGACAAGAAGACGCGGATGTAGCCATCACCGATTCACCGGCGATGTCCACGACAGTACGTTCGTACGTTTCTTTCGGCGCTTGCCATCAGTGCATGCATCAACGCATGGCTGCTTGCTGCATGCAACTTGGCAGGACAGGTCCTCGGACGGCCCCGTCGACGATCGTCTGGGATTGTGTCGCTAGCCACCCGGCGGACTCCCGGCGACTAGTCCTCGGGCATGGGAACCATCCGTCCCCGTCGCCGTCGCTGCAGGCCGGGCGCACTCGTGATGGCTACTCCCTCCGTTCCAAAATAGATGACCCAACTTTATATTAAGTTAGTACAAAGTTGAGTCATCTATTTTGGAACGGAGGGAGTACATGTGTGTCGTGGTACAGGCCAGGGATTCCCGTCCACAGTACCCAAAAAGGTTTGCACCCGTTTTAACTTTTATCTATAATAAAGCAACACAGCCAAATTGGTACATGGTGATGAGGAGATCCTCTAAAGCACTAAGCACTAACAAAGCAGATCAATTTTTTTTACATGAACGCAGAAGAGACCACACCCTACCACAAAAGCACCTAGACTACCATCAAGAAAGGAGACTCGCCGCCAAGGGAAACCGCTCGGCCTCGTGTCGCCGCTCACACCAAGTTCTCACGAGAGAGCGCTCCCTACCCTCCCGCTCCGGATCATCCAGCCCGAGCCTGCCTGAAGAAAACGACGACCAGGCTCGCGGAACCAACTAGGAACACCACCCTGCTTCATGCCCCCGACCCGACTCGTGGAACCAACTAGGACCACCACCCTGATTCATGCCCCCAGCCCAAGGCCGGGCGAAGTAGCAACCCGGATTCCCCATACAGTCTCCGTACTTGGAGTTTACCTGGTTTCCGGAATGGTGAACTGGCGATTTCTTTTTCTGACAAAGCTTGAACGTGATCGCACTGGACTTAGTATAGTACAGTATAGTGATGTCAACCGGGTTCTGTTTAATCCCGTTTAAACCCAGAAATAATCTATTAGTTCAAAATTTTGTTTTCTCAAGAAAAATGAACTATGGAGCTAGTTAAAGTTAATCTGCTTATTTGCCATTTGCATCTCTAGTACAGTACTGCTCCCTTCCCCCGGGATTAAAAGGATGCTGTACCAAAATGCAGATACTAAGGCGCCATATTTTTCAACACCAACAACCCAATTACACCGAAAATCTATCTCACTCCTTACGTCCAATAAAATAAACATCACAAGGGCACTTCCACTGCGATTATATCTAAGACAATATCTACACATGAAATATAGACTGATGTACTACCTCCTTTTCGGTCTACGGGGCTCAAATCTGAAATCTCATCAATCAAGGAGGAAGATGAATGGAGGAATGTATCTCAAACTTTAGAAAAGCTATCCAAATTAAACTAGTGCATTATTTGGATTAATTGCAGTGCATGAATTCTTGGCCACTAGATGAGTAAGAACATTACATGCATTGGTGAGGTTCTTTCTACTTCTTGCATGCAAAGATTTAATGCGCTTCGGAATCTCAAAAGGAGATAGAGATGAACCCATTAAATCGAAAACACACAAAAAAAGATAACCCATCTAAATCGAAAAGCACTAACTTAGTAGATCAAAGAAAAATACATGAACACAAAAGAGACCACACCCTACCACAAAGCACCTAGACTACCATCAAGAAAGGAGACTCGCCGCCAAGGGAAACCGCTCAACCTCGTGTCGCCGCTCACACCAAGTTCCCACCAGAGAGGGCTCCCTAGCCTCCCACTCCGGATCGTCGAGCCCGAGCCTGCCTGCGGAAAACGACAACCGCGAGTGGAACCAACTAGGACCACCACCCTGCTTCATGCCCCCGGCCCGACTCACAGAACCAACTAGGACATGCCCCCGGCCCTAAGATCGGCGGAAGTAACAACATGGATTCCCCATACTTAGTCTCCGTACTTGGGAGTTTACTTGGATTTCCGGAATTATGAACTGGCGATTTCGTTTTCTGATGAAGCTTGAACGCGATCGCGCAGGCCTTACTGCGGTATAGTATAGTGGTGTCAACCGGGTCCCGTTTAAACCCACTAATAATCTAATAGTTCAAAATTTTGATTTTCTCGAGAAAAACAAACTATGGAGCTAGTTAAAACTAACTAAATGAGAGTTGTGGATGCCGCTTATTTGCCATTTACGTCTCTAGTACAGTATTGCTGCCTTTGTCCGGGATTAAAAGGCTACCAGATCAAGGTGCCATATTTTTGAACAGCCAGTGACCCAATTACTCTGAAAATCTCTCTCACTCCTTGCATCCAACAAAATAAACATCACAAGGGCACTCCCACAGCAATTATATCTGAGACAATATCATACACATTAAATATAAACTAAGATATACTCCCTCCTTTTGGTTTACAGGGTTCAAATCTGAAATCTCATCAACCAAGGCGGATGTTGAGTGGAGGAATGTATCTCGTACTTTACAAAACTATTCAAATTAAACTGATGCTTGATTTGAATTAATTGCAGTGCATGCATGCTTGGTGAGTTTCTTTCTAGTTCTCATTTAAATTTGTTTTATATTTTTTGTCTACAAAAGTTCTTATTTAATTTGTTTTATGAGAGAAAAAGTATATCATATAATACACTAGTATCATACCCGCTCTGTCCGGGTTCTGGGCCTGCTGACCGAAACGCTGGTATGAAGGCACTGTGATTAATTCTCTGAAATAAGCACAACTCCCTCTATCCATGTTTATTGTGCCTCCCCGCATTTATTGTCAAACTTTGAAATCTATACGACTAATAACAAATATGATTCATATCCTGGAAAACGAATACCATGTATTTGTATTCAAAAGAGAATTTCTATCATTTTTTGTTACATATAATTTATCTTTCATTAATTAAAT